TCGATTTAGATTTCACACAAAATTTCGTGAGAGATTTAGAAGTAAATAAAATTCAAGAGTTGTTGTGACTTCATCAACTACTAGCTATGCTAGTGCTAGGGACATAAATCCTTTAGAAGGAAATGTTGACTATTATGACATGATTAATGACATCATTGAGTTAGATTATTATGGCAAGTGAAAAGTTATCTTATTTTGGTATGATTGGGCAGATGTGAATAGTGAGAGAGGTCTTAAGAAAAATCAATACAAATTTACACTTGTTAATTTTTCTCGATTAATTCACACATGATAACACCTCATCGATGAACCTTATGTATTTTCATCTCAAGTTAAATAATTATTTTACTCTGAAGATCCAAAAGAATTGTGTTAGTTTGTTGTTCTTCGAAACACACCTAGAAACTTATTTGATATGGGGTTAGATACCAAAGATGATGTTCAATATGGAACTGAATGTTATCTTTTGCTGAACAAAACTTGGATGAGAATATCTCCAGTACCAATGCTCAATATATCTGTGAAGATGTTACTGAAGACATTTACAAACCATGATTTCGTGCACCTATAATTTGTAATTCGAGTGTTTAAGACATAATGTAGTAAATAATAATATGTAAATAATGTCACATTCGTTATTGTTTAATGATTGTCTTCTAAATCATACATTAAATTTTAATTTAATTAAATCGTTATGTTCTTTATATATCGTACGTTTTGATTTCTTAAATTGAAAATGTTTTTATATGTCTTCTGAACTAAAATTTTTTTTATATTCGCTTTTTATGACGTAAGTAAGCTACAATGTAGAGAAGTAGGTTGAAAGAAAAATATATCAGAGATATTAGTTTAGAACCGTCTGCGGCACCTGTAGATATTGGCTATGGACTGAATTCTTTGGAGGGAAATGAACGTACTGTCAGATCTAACTCCATCACTTCTAACCCTTCAACTGATATTGGATCAGGCAATACGGGAGGTTCAGATTTAGATAGTATCCCATCAATTGATTATACTTTAAATTCGAATGCGGGTATGATATACTCCAATTTTAGAATTCGAGTATAATCATTAAAGTATTACGATTTTACAAATATATTATATATTTATTGCAGTTGATAACAATGGTCAACAGAGGACCAAAGGCTGAACAACTTTGAAGGAATTGTTTGTACTACCTCCTAACAAGCGCATTGTAGTGTTTGTAAACTCTGATAGGCAACCAATTGGTGAAGAGGCTCAACTATTGACTGGATTTCTAGGCATGCTAGCCTGTAATGGAATGAAATTACCTATTCATTATGAAACATGGTATAATATTCCATAAGAAGTTAAAGTCAATGCGTTAAACTTTATTGAGGTATTAGTATAATTAATTAGATATATTCAAGTTTTTTTATTTTACATTTTATTTACTTATTCAAACTTTTCTTATTGTATTATTATAGTCAAGATTTGTACTTGAAATACCAACTTCATATGTGCTTAAGTCCTTGAGAAAGAAATGGAAAGATTATAAGCATAGTTTGAAGAATAAGTATTTTGATCGAAATAGTACTGTAGAGGCGATGATGCAAAATTTACCCCGTAATGTGATTAGGTGATAATATGAACAACTGGTTAGATTTTGATTCTCAAGAAAAAGAGAGGTAGTAGTTTATAACTTTGTATAATATAATGAAATGATAAAAGTGCTTGATGGTTTAAGTTGGTAATATTTGTATTTCTATCATATAAGCAATTATTTTTTATGACAGGAAAGAGAACAGATTGGGATTGGTAGTAAAAAGCAACAAAAATATAGCCACACAAGTGGATCAAAAAGTTTTGCAAGAAAGCAAAAAGAAATCGTAAGTTTATGATAATTAACTTATTCCAATTAATGAACTTTTTTTGTCGTTGAAAGGTAAATATGAAAATCAACATTTATTGTTCTGTTTTAATAGATTTGATTGTTTCAATACATGATATTAAACTTATTGAAAGTTTTGAACTTAGTTACACAGATGATATGTATGAAAGGTCACTGTTTACGTATATTTAAGCCTTTGTTATCTGGTTGTTGTTATTGTTGATTTTAATAATTTTGATACCTTCAATACTTGATATTAAGCTTATCCGATTGATTAAAATTGGTTTTTATGGTGGATATGGGAGAAAAAGTTATTAGTTATCTTTGTTTGAGAATATTTTTGCATATAAAAGGTAAATATACAAATAAATTTTGGATGCCTTTCAACATATTGAATGACTTCAATCATTCGTATTAAATCGAGAGAAAATAATTGAATATGATTTTCATAATCGATATGTGTGAAAGCCCAAAATGCATTTATTCTTTGCGTATATTTAAGACTATTGTGTTATTACATGACCAAAATATAAATAAAAAAGATTAAAGTTATTCAAAATTTTAATACTTGATTGACATGATTGATATGCATAAATAAGTTACGGTTGATATGTATCCTATCAAATAACATATGTTTTTGTATATGAGAATGAGATGTGTGGTACAATTAGACGTGTGAAACTTTTTCGCATAACACACACAAAAAGGATGGATCTTATATGAATGTCAAAACATAAAAAAATTATGGTAATTTGTATCATTTATTTTAACATAAAGTAAATATTAACTATTTTTAACATATAATCAATTAGTCATTAAACTTGATTGTTGTATATGACAAATTCACAGGAAAAACGAAAGAAAAAATTGTTGTTGAGATTGAAGTAGCATCTGAAGGTTCTTTCAACATGCAAGAAATAAAAAATCAGATATCCATAGAAGTTGCTAGAAAATAAAGGCATAGACGAGTCCGAGGCCTTGGATTGGGTCCAACACCATCTGCCTACTATGGACATAACTCTTCCGTAATTTATACTTTCAACAAGTCAGTCTTCGCTAGACATTTCAATATTGAGAGGGGAGTTGCAAACTATGCAACAACATTTTCAACAAATGAAAGCAAAAAGAGAATAGGAGCATGCCAAAATTGAAGAATAACGTACTAGAATGGAGCTAGAACGTGTAAAATTTCAGCAGTTGCATGATCGATTCGATCATCTTATGAATTTTGTACAACAATAATTTTCAAGAAATGATCTTGGTACTCCATCAACTTAGGTATTATATTTAGTAAATGTTAAAATTTTTAAATAAAAAATAAGCATAAAATAAAGTGTTAAAATTATATGGTATTATTCAGTAAGTTGTTGAGCATGCTCGTGACCAAGGCGAAAAATTTTCTTCATCAATTAGGAGTCAACAAAATGTATGTAGTCATCCATTTCATACATTTTAATTTTTTATTTGGTTAATGTATTTACAATATTTGAATGTTATTATATTAATGATTAAACTTTGTATTAATTAGATGTATATTTAAATGTGAATGAAGTTAATATTAATTTCAATTTTTGAATTTAAGCTATTTACTACAAATAAAATTTATTATAAAAATTATAAAAAACATATTTTTGCATAATGGAGGCGTTTGCATTGGCCAATGCCGTTAAATGAATAATTTAATGGCGTTTGTAGCATAAAACGCTACTAGTAGTAGTGGCACTCTTTCTAGCAAACGCCGCTAGTTCGGTGGCATTTTTTATAAAAACACCACTAAAGCAACATCATTTTTCTTATAACAACGTCACTGAATTAGTGACGCCTAAAAGATACAAACGTCGTAAATATTGATGCGTTTTTAGATTCAAATGTCATGCAAAGTAGCAGCGTTTTCTGTTACAAAGGCCGTCAATGGAATAACGTTTTTCTTATAAAAATGCCACTGAAATAGTGGCGTTTCTAAAATATAAATGCTGCTAAAATAGTGACGCTTCACATACAAACGCCGCTAATATTGAAGTGTTTTTTCGAAAACACCGCTATTTATCACGACACGTGTATAGGTGACATTCTGTGTAACATTTTTTCACAAATGCCGCAACCTTATAGTGGCATTAATAAACGCCGTTAAACGGTTAAAAAAACGTTGCTAAAAACCAAAACCCTTGTAGTGGATAAATAGTGAAATAAATATGATGAGATTGAATCATTGAAATTAATAGAAAAGATGAAATTAATTATTTTAATGATGAAATTAATATCAATATTTGTTAAATGTAAAAAAAATGAAATGAATTATAATACAAAAATTTATCAATAAAGATATTAAATTAAAAATTATATGTAGTAAAAATTTTAAATTATTTAATATTTATAAAATTAATAATAATTAAAAATTAATAATAATTAAAAATTAATAAAATTAATAATATATCAAATAATATTTTTATTATGTTCAATAAACAAAATTATTTTATTATTTTTAAATAAAAAATTAAAAGAAAAATATAAAAAAGAAAAAAATTATTTAGAAGGGATAGTTTTTTATTTATAATATTAGTTAAAAAACAAAAATGACCAAAAAGAAAAAAGACGGTAAGTCATAAGACTAAAAATATCTACGACTAAAAGACACCTACTGTGCTGCATGAATACCATTCGACGTTTTTTCACATCAATTGACTCCAAAATGAAGCTCTAGAAAAAAAAAATTGGAGAAAAGGTTAGGGCTGACTAGAAGCCCTTAAGGCAAAAAAAAACAAGAAGAGATCCATTTCAAAGCTAAATTCCGTTAAGTATTCAAATGATGAATGTATAATATTACTTACAAACCATGCAAATTGCAATATTTTCAGAAAAGATGGTAAATGCTCCCATTTTTCAGTATTCATGTAATTCAAATCTGTTTAATCACATCTTGGATCCATGGATGAATAGTTTCTTAAATGGCGAGAAAGAGGTTTTTTTTATTGTACATACAAAAGGTTGTTTTTGGTTGTATCGTCAAAGTGTTTGCACGTGTAAAAGGTAGAAGTACATCTAACTATTCTATATAAAAAGTATCTCGAATGAAAGCGTGACAGGTGTATTGATGATTTGTTTTTTGGGGACTTTCTTTGTTGTGGGGCACTATCTTCAAATTCTTTTTGGATAAAAACAAAATCCTGGCAAATAAAATCAAAAGACCCCATTCTCCATTAATTTTTCATGAATAACTCAAAAAATTAATTTTTCTTTTTAGGAATTGGCTTAAAGGTTAAGAGTGGAGTAAGAATGGCTGGCATATCCGGAAGCTTCTACAGCTTTCTACAGGTCCAACCGAGCCGCCACTTCACGGCAAATATGGTTGCTGACAACGAGCCCCGCGTTAGTGACATCGCACATCACAATCTCCTCCTCCCACAGTATCGGAAACTCCTAGAAGCAGGAGGAAAATGTGATTTGATTAAAAAAAAAGAGGGCCTAGGTTTTATTTTAGGGGCGTAATATTGAATGCAACCCTAGATTGCTTTTGATTTTTGGTAAAGAGGTTTTTCCTTAATTAAAATCAGAGGGGGAAAAGGAGGAAGAAAGACGGGAAAGGAAGTGTTAAAGCGTGAGTGTAAAAAATAATATTTATTCTAGGGCTTAAGTTTGACCCTGGGATGCTATCGGGTCATGCCTAATCCATTTTCTTCACTGTCATGTTTACAATAGCTTCAAGTAAAGCTCTTACACTCACTCCTTAATGCAACTGTTTATCTTTGTTTTGTTTTATTCACTTCGCATTAGCTTCCAAGAATTTGCATTTCAATAGGCAATTGAGTTTAGAGTCTAATCTGAAATTCAAACTTGAAAAATTCTGTATTTGGTGTTTACAATTTTGGAATGGCTGGGGGTTAATGAACTTTCAGTGAGTATCAGTGTCCTGGCTTTGGCATTTGGTTCATATTTTGTGAGTATACATTCTACAAATTACATTAAAAGTTTGATCTTAGGTTTTTTCAGCAGTAGAAAGCCGTGATTTTTTGTTTGTTAGTTGTGAATTGTGAAGTTTGTGGAAAGAGTTATCTTATTGCTGGTTTTTATGCTGATTTCTAGCTTGTAGTCATGGCTTCGAGTGTCACAGCATCTTCACACGATCAGTCAAATTCTTGTAGGTGTCATAGGGTCGATTTTCTCAATTTTGTGGTAGATGTCATGGGATGCTGTTGTTTTGGAAGCATTTAATTCCTTATTGTTGGTAACGGTAATTGTATAATTTGTCTATATTATTTGTTGCAAACTTTGCATGTTGCTTCATTTTGATTTAAAATGGTGTAATGATACTATTTTTTGGTATTGGGTTGCAGGATGATATTCAGAATGTTTTTTTTTTTTTTTTGTTGCCAAATTGCTTTGTGTTCTTTGTTTAATTCGTTTGAATTCATTTAATTTGATTAATTCATTTGAGTTGGTCATTTGGATGTTATGAAATGTGAGAACAAAATAAATGAATTTAAAATTAGTTTGGTGGAATTAATCTTTGGTTTTTGAATTTGTGTTTTCTCAGATGAGATCAAGCTATGGTCGTTCTATATTTGAACCTCTTTGAACCAAATAAAATACTTCCTGAAGCTGGAAGCCAGATGCAGTTCAAGCAATTTCTATGCATGCTCATTGAAGCAGCCACGACATCAGACATTTCTTGGAGAAGGGAAGGGAAGAAGGTGCTGTCGCACACTGGAATGAAGATGAGATCTCAAAAGGTTAGAATAAAATTCTGAAGCAACTCCACGTACATGTTTAAGAAACAATTTATTTTTTTGTTCAATATCAGATTATAGATACAATAGATAAAGCAAAAATTACAAGCTTTTGTAGGTCAAAAAACCTTCTTTGCATTTTTATTTTCCTTGAGGAATCCACTTCAAATCACCAATTTAAAGCTCAAAGAAATACTATATCCAGATCAGAAAGGAAAAAAATCAGGAAGGGAATAAAAAAAGATGAAAAGTATGAAAAGGTAAAAAATAAGAAAACAGAATAATATCATCCCTGATTTATTTTTGCTTTATATTTGCTTACCTCCATAACTCCAGACATCGTATAACTGCTTAATGTTGTCAAGACTATACTCTATAGTATCAATTTATTTTTGCTTAAATCATGGGTAGCTGGTATTACCACTAGAAAACAAGCAAATACATATTAAAGAGGCAGATATAAGAAACTAAGGCCGCCGGCCACCATTTTCTCATTCTGGATTGTAAAACTGCAAAAGTACATAAAAAAAAAAGGATAAGAACCCAAAGAACAAAAAGAAAAGTTTAACCAAAAAATCATCAGAAGGAAAAAAAATAGAATTTTCAGAAACATTTTTGTCTGACCAACATATACCTGTGCAATGCTGAGGACAAGTTTGGTTGTGATTAATAACCCCTTTTGCTATGGTCGTTCTATATTCGAACCTCTTCTACCTTTCCATGAAGTAATTGACTGTAAGACAGGAAGTTTTTGGTGCTCTGCATCAAATTGCTGTGAGGGGCACATATGCTGACTATGCAATTCTTTCAGAAGACAAGCTTTCCTCAAAACCAACATCAGTTACTCGTGGTAACCATTCAATTTTTTTGTTATTCTTTAAGTGATGAACAAATTTATGTTTCTATTATTTTTTTCTCAAGAATAGATTTATGTGACTAACAGTTATTTGTTTTTCTTTTGTTTTGGTTTGTTCATGGTGGATGATGATACACTGTGTTCTATCTTATCTGTTTATTTAGTATCTCTGTTTTTAACCATTCTGACAAACATTTTTATCATTAGTTGGTCTAATTTGTGGTTCCCTGACTTTTCTTTTGACTATATTTAATTTCATAATTCCTGGATATTGTGTTTTTAGGCTTTAATTATGTAACGTCAATCTGAATTTTTTTTGGGTGTTGTAGGAAGCAAGTGCCATTCCTTTGGCGGCATTGACTGCATGGCGTGCCTTAAAAAGTACTGCTAGGATAATTGAAGGGTACGTTTGTGTCTTTGGATTGTTGATTGTTTTCAACAAAGTTTTCATGTATTTCCTTAATTTTGACAAATTATAGTAAAATATTTTAGCTACATTATTAATAGTCTTTAACTAACCATAAGTCATATGTTCATAGAATTGTATGATCATATTTGAGGTATATAATTTTCATCATTATAGATCAGTAGGTTTAAAGGGCTTTACTATATATGGCAATCTAAAAGTAATTCTCCCACAAACATTGTTTACCTGGACAATAATTCTAATCCATCCCATTTTCCTTATATATTGTGGATTCTCTATGTCTTTGGTTTACCTTATATATTGTGGATTCTCTATGTCTTTGGCTTTAACTTATTTTGTTTCATTTTGTTTATCTATTTATTTTTGTAAGGATGAATCTCTTTTTATGCATTGCAAATGAAAGTAACTACATATTGATATTGATAAAGTATGTCATCTCATTTCTCTGCCTCATCTTCAAATGTCATTTTGGTAGAGGCTACAACAATACAATCTTCCAACTGAAATTTACAATTAAATATTCTAGGAACTACTGCATTTTATCCCTCCATGATTGAATTCTTGTTCAACAGGCAAAGGCTGTTAGTAATAGGTGGTGGAGGAGCAGTATGTTTTGCTGCAATTCAGCTTGCGATAGCTGCGGGGTGCCATTTTACAACTACTTGTGGCAATCGAAGTATAAATTCAGTGATGGCAGCAGGTGTTGACCAGGCTATTGATTTCACTGCTGAGGTGGTGAACTAATAATTTATTGAGTTATTAATTCGTTTATGGTAGCTGTTTGGAATGATATGCCCTATATTGATTACTAATTTGAGTTTAATGACATTTATTTATAGGACATCGAAGCAGGAATTAAAGGAAATGCAATGGGATTTTGTTTCATTGCATGCCATGCGGTGAAATTCGTTTGAGTTCTCTTCTTTTCTGAGTTGCATGTTATTTCTGTTTAGTTTAACGGTTGTGTTGTTAATATTGGGTTGTATAGATGATGGTTTGAATTGTTTTGTTTTATTTTTTGTAGGAGGTTTTGAAGAATATTTCTTGATTAGGTTGAAAGTGAGTGAAAAGTTTGGTTTTCTGTTTTGTTTTGGCTTTTGTCTGGATTATGTTTCTGATAGGATTGATTATGTTTTTGATAAGATTGTATGTTAATTTTGTTTATTTTGATGATTGTCGGTTATGTAAGAAATTTGTTATTTGATTTCTCTTCAGCTGTCTTTCGATTTGTATATATTGGTTTCCTTTTGCATGAATTCAAATTTAAATCTAGGCAACTATTGAATTTTCATGAAAATTAGTTCAAGAAAATTTGAAATAATCGCATAGAGTGGTAATTGGTAATTATTGACTTCTTTGAATTGCATAGAACAATTTGTAATTAAAATACTTTTGTAGTTAAAGTACTTTTGTAGCTCGAAACTGCTAGATGTTTGATGACTCTTTCTTTTTAACTGTTGTTATTTTCACTATTTTTTTTAGCTTGAAAATGTCTAACTAATATTTTTTATTTAATTTTACAACTCATTTGCGTTACCAATAGTTGCTTCGAAAACTCTCTTTACTCAACTTTTTTGTCTAATTCTTTTACAATTAAAAATTATTATTTAAAACTAATAATTTTACATTTCTAATTACTTTATGTTAACTACGTATAGCATAATAGTCGGGGACAAAATCTTGATTTCTTTTTCTCACGGCAGCTAACAAAACGGGGATACCGGTGAATAAGGATGAGAAAATGGGGTGGGGGCCGGGGGTTTATCAAGATGGCAATGACTGAAAGGAAGCAGAAAATGGTGGGCATTTGTTTTCTTTGTCAAAGGCAAGTACTTGTGCTTCTGCAAATGTAAAAGTCACGATTTCCCAGTGACTTTGTGCTTCGCCTTTCGTTAAAACTTATGTCTCTGGGAATTGATTTGACTTTTTGAAAGCCTATGCCTAGGCTTCCCCACTCTTGATAATTCAAACTTTGAGCGTGAATGATCGCGTAAGCGATTTAATTTCCCATTTGAGCAGTAGTTTCCTCATCCCCTCCATCCTTCAAAAGTGCTTCGTGTCTAGGACAGTTCGTTCTATCCCTGCTTTCCAAACGGAGCGTAAATTACCTCATATACTTATTGTTGGTATTATTTGAGTTACGGGATTGAATTATTGTAATTTATCTAAATATATGAAATAAATTATTGGGAATTGGGATAATTGCTCCTAATGAAGTGTGAAAAAACGAAAAAACCTACTACCATTTCGACATCCTAGTACTACTTATTAGTTTATATAAGAGAAATGTTATTAAATTGCGAGTCTTACTTGGGGAATTTTATCAAACCAACATATAACATGTAGGCTGTAGGTTGGAACAAAGCAATCCAATCGTCATGTCACACAAGTATCAAATTCACTTTGATAACGTATGACTGTCTGTATGTATGCATACAATTGTAAGAAAGCAACTAATCACAGAAGCAAAAAAGGTATGTTGGAAGAAAATCCCCTTTTTCTTTAGGCTCAGAGAGAAGCAAATTTCTTTTTACAGTCTTGTGCCAAGGATAAAACAGATGACATGAAGATGACATGAATGAGGAGAAGAGAGCACAAATAAAATAAGGGTTAATATTAAACTAAAATATGAAATTTAATTCAAATTACAGTCACAACTTAATAATAATTCGAAATTAGAAAAAACACAGAGGAAGTCCAGTCCTACCAGAAGCAAGAGGAGTTACGACTGTGGCGGTAATGGTTGTTCTTGAGACGGATATATCTTCTTCCAAGGTAGAAGGCAAATCGGAGTCTGGAAAAGACCAACCTTCTCAGTTTACGGGCAGACCGTAGCCTAAACCACATGACCCTCTTAACCCTAACCAAGGATCTCTTGATTCTCTCCCCCAGAGACCTCTTCCTGCAGAACTGGTAGCTCCTCAGGAACAGCTGTCTCTTCTCCATCATCATGCAGTTGTGCTCTATATACCCATATGGGAAGGACTCGCTCCTGCAGATTGATGATACTGGATTTGCATCAACGTGATTAAGACTATGATTAGTACTTACTAGAGCCATTTAAACCAGAAGAAGGCCCGGTAGAGAGCAGAGAGAGAGAGACAGAGAGAGACTAGAGCCGTAGAGCAGAGTACTGCTCTAAAAAAGCCAAGAAAAGGGCGAAAGAAAGGGCGCAGAGAAAAGCGTTTGATGCTATTATCTATATCATGTTAGGATAGACTGAATTTTAGATTAAGTAGGTATTAAGGGTAGAAATTTGCTTGCTTGGAATTTGGTTCGCTTGCGAACAGAGCGCCGCCGCCGGTGCCAACTGTCAATCTGTCATACAAAGGGCAAAGGACAAAATTTTGTTATTTTCCTATATTATATAGATATTAAAACGTGGGCTTGGATGTTGTAAAATTGCCGGTCACGTGCCTTCTGTTCTGTTTTACTGTTTACCCTTTTCTTTTCTAGAGTAGAATTACCGCTGCGAAAAAATCGAAAAAAATAAAATTTGATTCAAAATTATAATATTTGAATCGATTTAAATTGATTTTTTTTAATTAAATTAAGATATTAAATATATTATATTAAATTTAAATTGAATTTTAAATCGAAATATGGAATAAAAAATTAAATTGAATTATATATTTTATTATTTTTTATATTTTTAAAATTTTTATAAAATAAAATAATAATTTCATATATAAATTTATTTAAATATATTATAAATTATATTAAACTAATATATAAAAATAAAAAATTTAAATTTAAAATCTAATAAATTGAATTGAATTGATTTTAAAACAATATCAATTTAAATTTAAATTTAAATTTAAAAATTTATAATATTATACGTTATTTCAAAAAATCGATCCGATCTCAACGATTATCCCTACAAAACATGCAATTTCGTCGTTCTCACCTTATGAGCACAATAACTTTTGTGACGATATAAACGCCTAACCAATATAAAGATGATTCAGAGCCACCTTTCTCCTGGATGCGTGCGAACGAATTATTCTACCATGATAAAAACTTCGACTGAAAGTCAAAGTCTTGCGGTTTATTTCCCATAATAACATTCTTAATTCAAAGGCAATCTGCATCGAACTCGACGATGATTCATGAATTTTATTAAAACAAGGGTGTACTACAACTATCCACAATACATTCACGCAAGCAATTGACGTAAACCGTGCGTGGAAAACTGTCGAAAAGCCATATTTAGAAGTTTGATTACGAATTAGGTATTAGATAATAATGACAGGTGCAGCCAACTGCTGTATCAATACCATATTTTTCCTTGCAAGTTTAACCATTTATTCACGCATCATGCACTATGAAAGGCAATAATATCAATAACAAACACCTAAACTCGAGACCTCACAACACTTTTGTGCCCGGGGTAGCTTACTACGATTGAGCTAACTTGCACAGCAAGAGTAATCAGTACTAAAGAACTTATTCTGAGCTGTGTAACCAAAAAAAGAAGAAAAAGAAAATCCAAACTAATAATAACAAGCAAACTTTAACCATCCAGAAGAACAGTTATATACCAGGCGTGTTGAATAACATAAATGGTAAGAATAACAATAAACCAATGGTTTCTTCAATGCCTAATTGGCAAGGTAATTTCACAAGTGCAGAATGACCATCAGAGGCAACCTATCAGTCTTGACATTGCTAGATTACAACTGCATTTTATTAGATTGCTTATTCAGCTATGCAACCTAACCAAGGCAATAGGGGCACTTTCACTGGGAGGTGTAAGAGCAGCATCAGCAATTTAGCAGTTACGAATCAAAATAAAGGCAGAAGCATTGTAGAATAGGATTTACAGAAAAAGCATCCATCTTTTGAGTCGTAATAAACATGCAACTCACCCAAAATTGCCATGCTGCAGAACATCCAATTTCCCTTCCCATTTCCCCCTTCACTCTCAATTTCAAAGGAAAGGCAACTACAATGTGGGAGAAAGTAATCAATAACATTACTCTAATATGGCGTGATATCAAATGGTAAAATCATTTGAATAACAAGCAAAAAGAGCACCGAGCTTGGCAAAAGTCAAGTGAACAAAAGTTGAAACCAAATTTCATGACCGCAATTCAGATCCCTCAACTATGAACTAAGTAATTTGTATCTACAGAGCAGATAGCAACAAACTCAGACAACCATTGGCAGACGGTCCACTGGGCCACTAAGTTCCAGTATTAAAGCTATGAACAGCGACTACAATTTACAGTGGTTGAAATCAATACAGGCAAAAGGGAGAAAATACTGGGAGCTGAGGACTACAGCAAACACTACAGCAGATTGAAACCAATCACCGGAACACATACAATTTAACATAGGAGGCTGTCCCAAAGTCAGAAATAATGTCATGTCAGACACTCTAACCTTTTTTGCTCTCTCCTCCCCCTCCACTCATTCTCGCCCCACTCCTGAAGGATGCACCCTTCTCACCTGTCTTAAGGATTTTACTACACATTGTCACCTAGGCTCAGTTTCTTTAGCAGCAGGAACTTTTGGAGGGTAATTAGACAGATCCATGTCGATAAGTGACATATCATACGGCACTGAATAAGAATTTGCGGGTTCCACAAGCAGTGATGATTTTATCATGTCACCACGTGCAGAATCTGGTACAGAGCCAGGGTTTTGGGGAGTGCTTGTACCAGACGATGAGAGACTGGATAGCTGAATGTCATCCAGTTTGTTTCCAAGCATGAGTTTGTTTCTTCTCACGGCATCCATCTCTGGCCCAGTTGGCACAAAAGTCCTTGACCGGTACTTTCTTGTTCCCTCATCACCATCATTATGGTTATACAATACATAATCATGATATGTTGGTGCGAACTGTGAAACCCATAAACAAATATAAACACCGTAAGCAACAGTAATCAAAGAAAGAATAATCCAATAGAGGAACCTTTGGGAAATGGCAACAAGAAGAAGGCTCACCTGGTGAACAGTATCATGATAGAAGTCATTCAACTCCAAGGCATGAGTGAGGCTTCCTGTAAAGCCACGAGACCCACCAATATTCGCACCAGCATACTCTTTATATGGAAATGCATAAAGATGACCCACTGCAGCTATAAGCATCTCAACACATACAATAAAGTTTTGAAATTGAGCTGCTTCTTCAGCATCCTTTATGAATCCAGACCTTGCAGCGAGAAAAACCAGAACACCCTGCAAACAAAAAAAAAAAAGGAAATTTTAAGTTTCTTTTACATGCATGGCCAACATATGCAACTAGATGTGGTTTTGGACATGGTTCGATGCTGTCACAGCATAAGATGTTATGTATAACCATCTTTACAGGCATGCCTTTTACCAGGTTTTAGACATGGTACGATGCCATCACAGCACAAGATGTGATTCTCTAAAAAGAATGTTTAAGCTGCCTGTAAAGAGACAGAATGCAACAGTTCCAGAACTTAAATTGCTAAGTCTTATGATTTTACATCAGTGTTAAAAAGGGAAAGCAAAATATAGAAAATCAGTCTCCTCTCACCCTTCCACCTTTAAAAAGAAACATAAAGATGATGATGTGCACAGCAGACAGGTTAGAAAAGATTGCATTCCAGTAACAGGAAGTTGACCATCCCCAGGGTTGCTATAATGATGCTTACAAGATTTCTTATTATTTCACCAAAAAGAAACATAGGGATGATGCAATGGAAAGAAGAAAAGAAAAAGGAAAGATATAAAAGTATCTAAAAGCCAATGCAAACAAGGGATTTTTCTTATTTTTCTGTTTGCATGCATAAGCATGTGAGGAAGTAACGGCAATACAGGATTTTACCTGCCAATAGGTTAAGAAAACAACAGATTTTAGTATGATGAACTTAGGAACTGGATTGAATGGCTGAAGAAGATCTTTGCATGCCATGTAAAACAATACCAAAGCATATAGAGCCATTGTGTATGAGATTGTATAGATGATAGTAAGATATAGATATGCCTGTCTTGGACTAAAATTCCCATCTTTATATTTTCCTTTCGCATATAATATGAGTGTAACAGCAACTAAAATGGGCTTAAGAATGACAAACTGCAGACAGCCTTGCTTGCATCTCCGTATAAAACGCCTGCATTGCAATTTCAGGTGCAAACAATCAAATGTAAGCTGAGTTCATAGGCGTAAATTACAAGGAACCCCAAAAATTAACAAGTTTTCAAACAATTATATATAACGAGGGATCAGGTGACATTGGTATAACAATTAGTAATTGTTATTTTATGAAACCAATAATTGGATTTAACAACCTACCTATATCCAGCATGCAATTAAAGTTTCAAGTCAATCCAATACCCATATCACATGATAGAGAATATTGTATTTTTCAATATTTATAATGGTTGAAATTTATTCATATCAAGCAAAAAAATAGACATTTGCAATTAACTTGAAATTTCAGCATGCATGATCTAGATGAATAGAATGAAATCCAAGAATTGGATTAACAAAATTTAACTCATATAAAACAATTTGAAGGGGTGTAAGACTTAATTAGTTCTGCATTGGTATAAGCAGATCCCTCCTCCTCCTCCCTCCTCCTCTCTCTCTCTCTCTCTCTCCTCTCTCTCTCTCTCTCTCCCCACACATGCACACAAACACTTAATAGCCCAAAAAAACATCTTTGTGATAGCCAAAGTTTGAAGGGAGGTGTAAAAGTTAATTGCAACCGCAGTCACACCACATTTCAATTTATCCTCCAATGTGATAATATTGACAAGTTTTTGCTTAAGAACAATCCTATTATTTCTCTCCTCAAGGGAAACTCCCTTTCCACTTTTAACTAACACAACAATTCCACTTTTAACCATACCCATTACCCAAGCCAAGCTGTTTAAACCATTTTATAAGCACATATTCTCATATGAAAAGGAGGTGAACCCCCCCCCCCCTCAAAAAAAAAAAAAAAACTGCTCATATCAAACTACTAGGGTAAAGATCTGAGGTAAGATGAGGCAGACATTGTCGGAATTCTGAGGGTAGAAACTCTTACTATACTAAACTAAGAATTAGGAAGTGGAATGTAGGTTTGTTAAAATCACTCACCTATTATACTATCCAAAAATAGCCAAAACATACCCGCTATTTATGTTGGCAAAATATAAGGAAGCCTTAGCCAAATTTGGCTATTTCTAGATATATATTGAGCTTGGCAAACAAGCTAATTACATAATTCAACCACATCAGAGTATAGAATGTAGGTTTTATAAAACCACACTCTAAACATAAGTAAATTATTCACAGAATAATGCATGAGTGAAATAGAAAAGCATGCTCAAAACCCAGGAAATGAATGTTTGGTACTTTGCAGATGTAAACCATTAATGGTTATCCAATGTCAATTCCAAAATCTAAACTAATAATGAAAGCAGAGATACTCTTGACACCAAGAAAAGCCTATAGGCCCTATACTCCTAAATATGTGGACAATCATAACAATATGATATGCAAAACAGCAGGTTCCATTCAAAACTCACCCATCAAGTGGCATGGGAGGGAAGCAGCATGTCATCAGACACAAAGATGGCTTTAAAACTCGACCACTCAAACTGAGCACAACTGCTCCTGGACCTCCAACCCATGCCAAGCAGAGAGACAGAAAATTATAGATGACCCAAGCTTCATAACTGAAACAGTTATAGAGGAAATGGTGTTACAGCACAACAGTTTTGCCCAATGAAAAGTATTAAAAAAGTACAGCAAAACATGGTTAGTGAACCACTAAGATTGAATAAAAGATGTGAACATAATGTGACATCTATTCATCTATCAACAAATACATAGCATAAACTTTGGAATGGTATGATGGATTAGAAGAACAGGGAATTCGGAAATGAAGTGAAAAGGAGAAACTGATGAAGGAATTCAAACACAGGCAGACATACTTACACTTCCCGGATGGAATTGAAATATATCGAACCCAGTGGTAGAACAAGGGACAAGAAAGACATCAACGCATAAACCTGTCAACGAGAAGAAAATTATATACATTGTAACAAAGAAGAAAAAAAAGATTTAGGCACACAGAAAATGAATCCATTAGAAGAACAAAAAGCCGTACAATAAATTAGAGAGTAGAGAAGAAACAACTGACCGGAACCATAAAGATGATGCGGACGATGTATCTCTGAAAAATAGGTTCGGTGTAATTCAAAAGGTGCCTGTAGATGTGAAGAATCGCCAAAGCAATGGCTCCAGCAGTACATATAAAGGCCACGATGTTGAGGTAAATAGACACCAAATCACCCATTTGTCACACGAATTTTGTATCCTTTTATTCTCTTTCCTTCCGTAAGGTGGCTAGCGGTACATGGGAAGATTGTCCACAACCAATAGGAAGGAAACCCTAAACCAACCCCCGACCGCCGCAGTCAAAAACAGAAAAAAGTAGGATTGATTTGGTTATGCTAATTCCACAACTGCATTGCCGAAGTTAGGAAGAATTTGAAAAGAAAGAATCAGTAGCTATATGAAGATGAGAAGTAATTGGAGGCTTGGGAAGGAGCAAAACCTAAGTCCGGGGACACGTTGGATTGCAGTTAGAGTTTGTTTACAGAAGATAAATGGATGGGTAAGCGATAACCGTAGAAAGCAATAACCAACCGAGATCAATAGCGAACAATTCCAAGTAGAAATCAATAACCAACTAAAAGAAATTACCTTTAAATTGATTGGAAAATAGAGAACGATCAAACAAAGGCGGACAATATCCGGGAAGGTAATCAGTAACGAAAAGAGAAGGCAGATCTGGCAGCGGTTGCCGACTTTTTGTGTGTGCCTAGAAGCTGGAAAGAAAATATTCTTCAACAATATTTAGAACTATGCATGCTCCCCACTGGCAACCCATAATGGCGGCTCTCCAACTTTTCCTGTGAAAAAAAATACGCACCGTCGATTTTCCTATTTTCTTTTTTTATTAAGCAAATAAAAGTGAAAACGCAAAACCTACCTACAACAGCACAGCATAATTGCTCTTATTAATTTTTTTTTCCTACAAAGAATATTATTTGCATTTCGCATTTGTAAATTTACTGTTTTTGGGGAGAGGGCCGAGAGGCGGGACTGCGAGAGCCCAAGAGGGTGCTTTTTGCACATTTTACAGAGGTGAGGAATGCAAAAAGTGCGCTTAGAACAAGAACAAAAATTTGTTTAAAAAAAGAACATAAAAAGGCAAAAAGAATTTTTAAATACTATATTTTCTCTTTTCTTAAATTATTTGAATGTTATTAATTTTTATAAAATTAAAAAAATTAATTTTAATGTATTTAATATTAAAATTTAAAATTTTATAATTCTTAATGCCAAAAAATAAAAAAATAATTTTAAAATATAAAAATAATAGTTTAAATGTAAAAAAAACACATAATTTTAAAACATTTAAAAAAAAAGAAGAGAATATTTTAAAACCCTAAACTTTCGTCTGGTAACCTCATAACACTAAAGCTTTGCCTGGTAAAAAAGATGAAAAATGATAATGATGAAAAATTTATTAATCAAATGATTAAAATTAATAATTATTTTTTATTTTATAGTTTAATTATTAGATTAATAAATTTTTTATCTTTATTTTTTTATTTTTTTTATCAAACAAAGCCTAAGTCAAAAAGAGTTAAGCTTCATTGAGTTTGAAAATTTTAAATTTATATTTATTTAAATTTTAATTTGCTTTAATTTATTACCAAATGATCGATTATATTTTTTTAATAAAATTTGTTTTTTTTTTTTCCTTTTGTTGGATCCCAAATCACATTAAATTTATAGTGGTTAATGTTTAAGGTTTTAGATTTTTTTAACTCCTCACATTAGATTTAACTTTGAGCCATGTTGTTAACGAAGGGGAATATATAATGAATTGAGATTGTTAGAGTTTGTCCCAAAATTAGAATGAAGAAAAGGCTAGTGAAATAGGCAATTCATTCAATTTAAATTCATAGCTTGTATAATGAATTATATCAACATCTTTATTTGTGATAGGAATACTTTTTTCCGACGCCATCAATTGATGAATGTTTTACGTAAAAATGAATTGTTCATTGATTGATATAACTAATTAGAGAAGACAATTCAATTTGAATTAAGTAAATTTTTACTCGATTTAATTTGATTTAACTTTTGAAAATTGATTTTATTTTTAAATTAAATATCAGATTAAAAAAAATTAAATAATAATAAAAAAATTAAAATTGAGTTTTAGATAAATTCGATTTGATCTAATCTTATATTTATAAAATTATTATTTATTTATTTATTTATTTATTTTTATATTTACATATTCATTAAATTTTATATTTATATTAAAAGTAATATTTTATATTAAAAAATAATATTTTATTAATTTTAAATTAAATTAAAAATAATTTTATATAATATTAAATTAATTCGAATTCAAATATAAAAAAAATTATGAATAAAGTCGAATTCAAAATTTATAGGTATAAAATTCGATCAGGTACCATTGCCGTTCCTGTAACTAAATATAAAGACACTATTAGAAAAATCGCTCAACTCTCAAAAAATAAAATAAAGTAAAAAATGATCAAACAACTCCAAAAATATAAATAATTAACAGTTATTTAATACCATAAAATAATTAAAAAAAATTCTGGGTATAAATTTTGAATTAAAAATTTTAAAAAGTTCGTAAAATTAATCCGTTCGAAGAGAATTGATGGACCGGGGATTTAAGACCAAAAAGATACTGGGCAGAAGCAGCGAGGTGGAGGCCAGCGAGGCCATTCATTTGGGAAGGAGTGTGGCCTTATCTCTCCACTGAACTCTTCTGCACGCCGCCTGAAATAAATATCTCAAATTCCCTTAGCCTATCTTCTTCTACTAAACCAGCAGAAAGTTGCAACAAAAAATGGCATCCTTCCTAGGAGTATCCTCGTACATACACCACTCCCCGTCTCTGGAGGTTTCCTCTTCCGGCTGTAATAGAAGGATAACACCCACTACAGCAACTTCTTACTTCTCCTTACCCTCCACCAATAAGTCTCAGTTCAATGCCCTCGTAGTGGCTGGAAGGCCATTGCTCGGCTTCAAGCACTCTTTTGTTTCTCGCGCTATCGCCACCCCCAATTCCGTGCTCAGCGAACAGGCCTTCAAGGGTCTTTCTCTCCACCAGGACCAAGACGACCAGGACGTCTATGACTCTCGAGGGGAGACTAAAGCTGAGGCTGAGACTTCCTCCAACCACCAGGACGAACTTGACATTTCCAAGTTGGGTTTGCCAGAGCGCCTTGTCGATTCCCTACTCAAACGGGGCATTACTCACCTTTTCCCAATTCAGGTAAATTTTTCTTTCTTTTCTTGTTGATTACTTAATATGTAGATTTTTGTTTTAAAAAATTATTATTTTCATTCTTGTGCGTGTTCTTCTAACTCCGACCCTTCTATTTCATTTTTTTCTGTCCTGCAGTAGATAATGACGATTTGCATACGGATGCTATGCGACTTGCTTATCTTATGCTAATTAATTATCATTTCAAATGTACCTGTGTTATGCTTCTATCTTACTTCCATTCTACTATTATACCATCTCCTAATCTTTATGTTGCGTTTGACATTTTTTTTTCTATATAACCATGATTGTGCCTTTCTTTCTATTCAAGTACCTGAGTTAGGTTATGATTCTTCCCTTTAAATACCATTTTAACATTCTATACATTATATTTCCCCTTTCATTGATTTAGAGAGCTGTGTTCGTACCGGCACTGCAAGGTCGAGACATCATTGCTCGTGCAAAGACTGGCACTGGGAAGACATTAGCCTTTGGAATCCCCATAATTAAACGGCTTACTGAAGATGCTACCCAACACACAAGTCCACGGCGGTAATGCATCTCCTAATGCGAACCTAGACTTCATCCATTTTCAATGTTCTTGTTACGCTTAATATTTTTTCTTCTTTCTGTTTCTTTTTTTCTAGGATGTCTGGTCGGCTTCCCAGAGTTTTGGTACTGGCTCCTACTCGAGAGTTGGCTAAGCAAGTGGAGAAAGAAATTAAAGACTCTGCATCTTATTTGAACACTGTTTGTGTTTATGGAGGGGTTTCTTATAATACACAGCGAAATGCTCTTTCGCGTGGGGTTGATGTAGTGGTTGGGACTCCTGGTCGAATCATTGACCTCATAGAAAGTAATGACCTCAAATTGGGGGAAGTTGAATATCTGGTCCTTGATGAAGCTGATCAGATGCTTGCAGTTGGATTTGAGGAGGATGTTGAAGAAATTTTAGAAAATCTTCCATCGAAGAGGCAGAGCATGCTTTTCTCTGCAACCATTCCTTCTTGGGTTAAAAAGTTGGCAAGAAAATACTTGGACAATCCTCTGAATATTGACTTGGTAAATTATTTTCTATGTACTATTTGAAATGCTTATTCGTGCTGGGTTTTGACATGTTACTTCTGTTTCTTTATTCGATAATGATGGAGAAGTTTCTGTCTAAACTCAAAAGGTTACAAGTCTTGAGTCTTGAGCATTGGAGGTAGTTATTTCTGCTTGTTTGATGGTTGAGCTGTTATTGTCGACCATCGGTGAAACATCAAAACTCTGTTTCTGATTGTCAATGGTGAAAATTAGTCTGTCCCCATTTTCAACCACTTTCTTGGGTTGGGAGGACTAATTCATTATTGAGTAAGTTGGTTGAAATTTTGATGCTCAGCAAGCTCAGATTGTGGTTATGGACCTCATAAATTTGATCTCTCAACCACTTAATCTGCAAGAGAAAACAATGCCATCCTTAAAAATGCTATGGTATATATCAGCTTAGATCTAAATCCAGCATAACACTTTCTTCCTACATTTCTGCATTGCAAATATTATTTCAGCTGACACATTGTCAAAAGCATGTTCTTTTTCTTTGTGAAAAAATATTCTCTGTTGAGAGATTAAAATTGAATGATGTAATTTGGTGAACAAGTTCAAAGATAATAAGTTTTCTCTTGAATAATGAGTGGAATTATATCTTTTGCTTATATTGTTAAAGAAACTGGGAGAAAAACATTATACACATCTATGTGCATACATAAGTAGCATGATGTATATTGATCTTGGAGTAGCACATTCCCATTATAAGTATCATGTTGAAGTTCTTTCATTGCGGAATGAAACCTTGATTTTAGTTTTTGTTCTTTCTCCTTTCTTAGGTTGGAGACCAAGATGAAAAGCTTGCTGAAGGGATCAAACTTTATGCGATATCAACCACTGCAACTTCAAAGGGGACCATTCTTAGTGATCTCATAACTGTAAATAATTTCTCTTCTCTTACTTTGTCTCACTGGTTTCAGTATTTCTTTGTATTTTTGTTACAAATTGAAGCCATCAATGAAGTCTGTCTATTACGTGTATTTTTTCTTCATAGATGTCTCTTTTTAGTGGAGAGTAACGTAGGAATCCCTTTTTTTTTAATAGAATTTTACCATATAAAGCATAAACCTATTGCATCATTCTTATTGGAATTAATTTTGTTTGTGTTGAATTTGTCTGCGGTATATATTCTATATCAAAGATGAAATAGAGACAGTTATCCCAATGTAAATGTTTTGATATTATTCTATGTAATCAACATCTACTAAGTTGGCTCGCTTGTGTCATCAGCTGTTGATGCATTCTTTATTCTTTAAAGATTCTTCAGGATGGAATTTTGTTCAACTTTGGATTGTTATTCTTAGTTCAAGCCTTTGGTCCTCAAAGCATCTTTATTCAAGTCCTTAGTAGTTTTATATTTGCATTATGCTGCAGTATCTGGGTTGGCCTATTGAGTTTAGTTGATGTAAGCCTTTCTAAAAACCTCAACTTTACAATAATAAAAGTGCTTTCCTGGCTTTAAAGTTTTAAAGTTTTATTTAAAATTTTTATTTTGGGTTATTGTGTAAATTGGCCCCTTAACTATATCACTTTTCATGAATTGGTACCTATAGAAACAAATTTCACGATTTGGTACCTTAACTTTGCTTCCGTCAAGCATTTTGCACCATTGACCAACTGTGTTAGGTAAAATGATGATATGGCACATATTGGCCAATGAAAATGCTCCATGTATCATGATTGTATTTATTAGTTTCTTGCCACGTTTGCATATTATTAGCGGAGTTGATGTCTGAGGAAAATGGCTTGACAAAATAAAAGTTGAGGTGCCCAATTGTGAATTTGTTTCTCTAAGTACTAGATTGTGAAAAGTGGTATAGATCAAGGATCCAATTACATATTAACCGTTTTATTTATGTGTGGAGACCCCCAAATTTCCATTATACATGGATCATATTGGTTATGTTTTTGCAAATGTAGTAGTTGCTTCCAATATACTTACTTTTACTTGTAAACTTTTCTTAGAGGAAATTATTTTATCATTTAGCTCTACTAACATGTATGCAATGTTTTTATGCTACCATATTTAAATGTTATTAGAAAATTTATATAAAATCACCATACTGAAAAAAACTGCATCTTGTCCTAATCTTCAGGTTTATGCGAAGGGTGGGAAAACCATTGTTTTTACACAAACAAAGCGAGAAGCTGATGATGTGTCTATCAGTTTAACAAATAGCATAGCTTCTGAGGCATTGCATGGCGATATATCCCAACATCAGAGGGAGAGAACATTGAATGGATTTCGGCAAGGAAAATTTACTGTGCTTGTTGCTACTGATGTTGCGTCTCGTGGACTTGATATTCCAAATGTTGATCTAGTATGTTACCAAAATATGTTGTAGTTCTTTAAACTCTATAATTTATTTTGGATCTGTTATTATGGTCTTTTATTTCTAGATTAGGCTCCAGCCGGTCGATACTTTTACCACCTTTTCTTTTTTCCTTTGCTTCTGCATGCAAAATTATGTTTGATGAAAAATGAGAAATGATTAAAATGTTACACCAACTAAACAAAATTGCTTCTATACATGTAAAATCATTAATTTTGTTATTCATTGAGGTATTAATTTAGTTCCTCATAAATATGTATATTTTATCAAAACAGTTTTTTTATTTTTTATTTTTTTGTTTTTGGAAGCAAAAAAGCAACAGTAAAGGTACCAATTAAATATTTAAATGGTACTTCAATAGTTCAAGGATGTTATGATATTGTGCTTTGTAAAGAACTATACACAGAATAAGCTAGTACTTATTTGAAACTCTAACCATTCAGTTATTCCTTATATCATGTTTATATATTTAACAGAGTTAATGATATGGTATTCAATGTTGACTTCTTCAGTTACTGAAGCTTAAAAGAATATGAGTTATTATTTGATATTGTAAAACTAGGAGGAAAAACACATGTCAAAGTATAAAAATGGACATGCATGCGATGTTGATTTTATATCATAAGTTTGTTCTCTGATCTCTCCATTTTTCTGTTTCCAATATTCATGATCCAAATTTTGAGATATTATCATATATGGAAAGCTATCATTATTTTTTACCTGTCTTTAGTTTCAAAATGTGAAATGTGCTTTCTAAAGGCATGTGAGAAGACTGTGGCACTTATCGCCCTTTTATCCAGGTTATCCACTATGATCTTCCCAATGATGCGGAGACTTTTGTGCATCGCTCTGGACGAACTGGACGGGCAGGGAAGGAAGGTTCTGCAATTTTGATGTATACTAATAGCCAAAGGAGAACTGTCAGATCCCTTGAACGTGATGTTGGGTGTAAGTTTGAGTTCATTACTCCTCCAGCTATTGAAGAAGTTTTGGAGTCATCAGCTGAGCAAATTGTTGCTACTCTTAATGGAGTTCATCCTGAGTCTATAGAGTTCTTTACCCCAACTGCTCAAAGGCTTATTGAAGAACAAGGGACAAGTGCTCTTGCTGCAGCACTAGCACACCTAAGTGGATTTTCCCATCCCCCCTCATCCCGTTCACTTATTAGCCATGAGCAGGTAAACTGTAGTATCCTTTATATTGCTTTTAATTCTAGTTGGAGCACCTAATTGTGAATTACATTCAAGTTTGCTTGTCCCCCATTTGGACAACCTAGTGCTTGATATTGGGACTTTCACTTGGAAGTTGTCAAGTTCAAACCCTTGGAAGGAGGGCTAGTTTATGGAAGAGGCTCCATGCATACCATAACATTTGTTTTTTAATTTTTTTTATTTGTTTTTAAGTGGCATACTTTTCTTGGAAAGCAATGCACTTTAGTTCTCCTTTATGTTGGTTGACTTGGTATATTGAAAATAGGGTAACAAGGAGAATACAACTACAGTATGTGGTTGTAACTATGCAGATGGTGGTAGGAATATAGTTGTTTTTGTTGTTGGTGTACTGAACTTTGGCCCTTTTCATCTTCTTCTGTTAGGCAAATCCTGTGTTGCTTTTTAATATATGTGTGTGTGTGTGTGTGTGTATATATATATACATGTATATCAGTATATATATACCCATGTCCGAATGGGCAGTATGGTGGTGTCAACTAAATTTTTAAATGCCAAGAACCCACATCTTACCAGATGTTCAGATGTTTTGAAGTTGCTTGTCAATTTTCAATACCTATTTGCATTTGATTTTTTCTTTGTTTTGTTTGTGAAGATTTTTTGTTTCAATAAATTAATTTAGCCTGCTGCCTAACTGGACCCTGTGTTTCAGGGATTGGTAACAATGCAATTGACAAGAGATTCATCTTATTCTAGAGGGTTCCTGTCTGCTAGATCTGTCACTGGGTTTCTTTCTGATGTTTACCCTATCGCTGCTGATGAAGTTGGGAAAATATATCTAATTGCAGATGAGAGGGTTTGTATCTGCAAGGATTCTGTTCATTTTGCTTTGTTAATCTTGATGCATTTCTTTGGTGAGACTTAAGAATGTATTTATTATCAGGTTCAAGGAGCAGTGTTTGATCTCCCCGAGGAGATTGCAAAAGAGTTGCTGAATAAGCCAACACCACCTGGAAACAGCATCTCAAAGATCACAAAGGTTGATGATATTGGTCACTGTTGCTCATTAGATGTGCATCTGTGTAATGGGCATGTTGCTTATATTACTGTCATCTAATTCATCTAGCTAATGCTCCTTTGGCAGCCACCTAAGCATTTTTTTTTTTATTGCTTTAAACTAAGATGATTTTGTGTATTTACTTCTTCTGGCAGTTGCCTCCTTTGCAAGATGATGGCCCTTCAGGTGATTATTATGGCAAATTTTCTAGCAGGAATCGCTATACGCATGGAACTTCTAAGGATCGGAGAGGTCTTAGGGCCTCCAGGGATTGGAGCAGTGGCCGAGACTCTGGTGATGAAGTCCGAGGTGGAAGAAGTAGCTGGTCTCGGACTTCAAAAAGCAGTAGGGATGACTGGCTAATTGGCAGTAGCAGATCAAAAAGGTCTTCCTCCCAAGACAGGCAAGTCTTTTCCCTCTATTCTCTTATGATAAACTATCTTGAACTTTTTAACCTGTATTGATAAGATTGTTGGTCTTAAGGTCAAGTAATAAATGAGAAAGGAGAAAATATCACTCAACTCTATGCAACTAAGCCAGCAATAGTCTAATCCTGCCTGTACAACTTTTCTAAATCTGTTTGGTGTTGGCTGATCCAGATTCCCCTGATTTCATTCCAAAATTTACTCTTTAGACTTACTGTCCTTGTCTTGAAGAAAGGTAAAAAGGCTGAATTAGTTGGTTATTTAATGACAGAAATAAAAGTAGCTCTAGCCACATCTTTAGTAAACTAGAACTTATTTAGTCATATGCATGGAGGAGGGTTGATGCATGATGAACCAATGGACTTATTTTCTCTTCATGGCAGTTCCATGCTGCCCGTTCTATGCTCTCATTGACCCTTTTGTTTGTATTTTGATGTTTGGTTACTGTGGGTGGAAACTCTAATTACTGAAAACGTTATAATTCTGAGTTATAGCCATAGAAGGCAGTTACTATTACCATTCATTATAACCTTCTATCAAACACGAATACCTTGTATAGGATTTGACATCGACGTCTTATTTTGTGTACAGAGGCTTTGGAGGTTCCTGTTTCACCTGTGGGCGTCCTGGGCATAGGGCCTCTGACTGCCCTGACAAGTTTGACTTTTAGCATGTTGCTTTAAGTATCAGTCTTCCGCACTAACCTGGACGATCTTGGAACTAAGCTGCTATTAGGCAGTTGCTTTTTGGCAGACATTGGCATTAAGTTGGTCAAAGAGGGAGACTCTCGCCTGCGTTGCAAATATTGAAGTTATCGTCGTATGCCTTTCTCTGTCACTGTTGCCATAAAATTTGCAGTCCGCTGATATCAAATTGGAGAAAATGTTACATGAAACTATTCTAAATAGAAGTTAAATTCTATGAAACATTATCATTTGAAACCAGAAATGTTATCTGCCCGATTTGTGGTAGCATTTTTTTTTCTTTTTTATTTTAAAGTGGCAAAGAAGGTATGATTTTAGTATAAAATTTAAATAGTTGTCGTTGTTTTGAGGTGATGCCCATAATATTAAATTTTTTTAGTCCTGGTGCTAAATTAATGGTATCTCATTTTTTGAAATAAAAATTGGCAGAATATATGAAATAAAAAACCTATTCTCTGGGTGAGTGAAAGACCAAATTAGGATCTTAACAGCATGTCTATATACATATAGAGCTCACTTGCTTGTCTATGCATGTAGATCTCTTTTTTATTTTTCACAAATATGCATGTAGATCTCATTTTGTTTTTTTTGTGAGAATGATTTTTGTGATATTAAAAATAATAGTGATGGTGAAATTAATTATTGTAATAATCAGATTGAATATTATAATAATATATATTTGAATGCAAACATGATGGTAATGATGATGTGAAGAACACTGAGAAGAGTAATAAGAAGAGAAAATCATCATTATAGATATTGGACCAAAATTTGCATATAATAAAATTTATAGTATGTATTGATATTTGTAAAATTAATAAATAATTAAATTTTATGATATATATTTTATTTTTATGTTGTATTAATGTATTTATAATGTTGTAACTATTTATTATATATAATTAATTATATATAAAATTATTATGTAATTAATAATATATATAGATATATTTATTTGTGTTTTTTTTCAAATTTTTTGTTATTTATTTGTTTATTATGTAATTGCGTAAATTTATTTATCATTTTAAATAAGTAATTGAAAATCTTTACAAAATTAAAAAAAAATAAAAAACAATTAAAAAGTCACTATCGTAATTTGTTATGTCATCTAAATAGCATTATGGTGTAGTTAAACTTTCCAACCACACCTCATTTGTTTTAAACAAGGATTTGAATGAAGCTTAAGACCCGACTACATAGAAAAATGATTGAAACAATTTTATATAAATCCTAAAAACTTTGAAACCTCAAAATCTTTTAAAACCTTAAGCATTTAAAAATCATCTCTCAAAACCCTAAAACCATTAAAAACTCAAAAACTCATTAAAACTTAAAAATCCAAAAATCACCCCTTAAAGACACAAAAACGTTGAAACCCCAAAAACCACTAAAAACCTTAAAAATCCCAAATTGCCTAACGAAACCTCAAAATCGCCCAAACCCCAATAATCATTAAAAACTCCTAAAACCCAAAAAAAACCCCTGAAACCCTAACATCGATGAAACCCCAAAAACTAATAAAAATCCTAAAAACCCAAAAACTATCCTTGAAACCCAAAACCTCAAAACTAGTGAAGTTGCCAAAACCCTAAAAACTAATAAAAATCCTGAAAACTCCAAAACACCAAAACTGCTCAAAACTACTACAATCCTAAAACCCAAAAACCCAAAAATTGTCTAAACCTTAAAAATCGTCCTTTGAAACCCCAAAACATATAAAACACCATAAACTACTAAAATGTCCAAAAACCCAAAAATCGCCCTTGAAGCCTAAAAACCCTTCAAACCACAAAAACTACTAAAAACTCAAAAAACCAAAAATCGCCCCTCAAAGACCCAAAACCATTGAAACCCCAAAAACCATTTAAAGCCTTGAAAACCTTGAATACCAAAAATTGCTAGTTGAAACCCCATAACCATCGAAACCCCAAAAATCACTAAGAAACCTAAAAACTAAAAAATCATCCCTCGAAATCCTAAAATCACCCAAACCCTAATAACCATTAAGAACGCATAAAACCCAAAAACGGTCCCTCGAAACCTTAAAATTGCCTAAACACCAAAAACCACTAATAATGCCTGAACTTCAAAATCTATCTCACGAAGCCCTAAAACTGCCAAAACCATAAATCATAAAAACCAAAAATCAACTACTGAAACCCTAAAATAGTCGAAACCTCAAAACCACTATAAACCCAAAAAACCAATAAACTACCCTTTGAAATCCCATAACCATTGAAATCCTAAAAACCCAAAAATTGCCCTTGAAATCCAAAAACCATTGAAACCCCAAAAGCCACTAAAAATCCAAAAATCACCCTAAAAGCCCTTAAATCATTGAAACCTCAAAACCCATTAATAACCCTTAAAACCCAAAAATCACCCATAAAATCCTAAAACCACAAAAACCTAAAAAACCACTCTTGAAGCCCTAAACAGTTGAAACCATAAAATTAACTCAAAACCACAAAACTTAAAAATCATTTCCGAAACCCTAAAATCTTAAACCCCAAAACCACTAAAAACTCCAAAACATAAAAACAACCTCTGAAACTTCAAAATCGTTGAACATAAACCATTAAAAATTTAAAAATTGACTAAACCTAAAACCTTAAAAACCATTAATAATCCCTAAATCCTAAAAATCATCTTTCGAGACCCCAAAATCACTAGACCTAAAAAATCACTAAAAACCTAAAAATTTACCCTTGAAACCCTAAAAAGTTAAAAACCCTATAAACCTAAAAAAAGCCCACAAAGTACTAAAATCGTTGAAACCCCAAAAACCACTGAACACCTCTAGACTCAAGACCTTAAAGCTCTAAAACCTAAACCTTTAAACTTAAACCCTAAACTCGAGACTTGAGACCTTAAAACACTAAACCGAAGAATCTAAAATCCTAAAACCCTAAATCTTAATCCTTAAAGTTGAGACTCAAGACCCGAGACCTAAGACTTGAAACCTAAGACCCTAGACCCTAGACCTTAAACCTAAGACCATAAACCCCAAAACCTTAGACCATAAACCCAAGTTCCTAAATTGTAAAACCTTAAACCCGAAACTCAAAACCTTAAATCTCAAACCCTAAACCAAAAACTAAAAAACCTAAACTTGAGACTCCAAACCCTAAAACCTTAAACTCCAAACACTAAACTTAAATGCTAAACCTTAAATCATAAAACCCTAAACCTTAAATCATAAAACCCTAAGCCCTAAACCATAAACATTAAGACATAAACTTGAGACCTTGGACCTTAAACCTTAAACGAAGACCCTAAACCATAAAAAACAAAACCCTAAACTCAAAACCTGAGATCTGAGACTTGAGACTCGAAACCTGAGAACCTAAACCTAAGACCCTAAATCTTAAAACCTTAAATCTTGAACCTAAAACCCTAAACCTCAAACCTTTAACCTTTAAACCTAAACTAAAAACCCTAAAACCTAAACCTGAATCCTGAGACCTTAGATCCTAAACCCTAAAACTTTAAATCCTAAAACCTAAACCCTAAAACCTGAAACTAAAAACCCCTAGACCTTAAAACCCAAAACCTAGATCCTAAAACCATAAACCCTAAACTTTAAAACCTAAACCATAAACCTAAGACTTGAGACTTGAGACCCTAAAACTCTAGACACTAAATTCAAAACCCTAAAAGATAAACCTTAAACTCAACAACCTGAGACTTGAAACTTAAGACCCTAAAACTAAGACCCTAAACCTTAAAACCATAAACCCAAAAATCCAAAATCCAAAACCCAAATCTCAAATCCTAAACAAAAAAGTAAAACCCTAAACCTTAAAACCTTAAACCTGAGTCCTAGATCCTAAAACCAAGACCTTAAAACCCTAGAATCACTAAAAACCCCAAAATCATAAAAATCACTCCTAAAATCCTAAAACCATCAAAACCCTAAAAAGCTAAAAACTACCCCATAAAGCCATAAAATTGTTTAAATCTTAAAAACCACTAAAAACCACCCCTCGAAACTCGAAAACTATCGAAACCTCAAAAATCTCAAAAATAAAAAAACTACCTTTCGAAGCCCTAGAATTGTTGAAATACCAAAAACCACTAAAACCCCCAAAACCCAAAAATCACCTACTTTAGCCGTAAAATAGTCGAAACCCCAAAAATCACTAAACCTCAAACTTTGAAAACCACCCCTTGAAGTCCAAAAAACATTGAAACCCCAAAAGTTATTAAAAATCCTAAAACGTCCCTCGAAGCCTCAACATTATTGAAACCCTGTCATAACGTCTAGATCCGGAGATCTATCGCTAGACATTGACTTTAGGGAGTCGCCACCAATCTTTTTATCTAGGTACGATTGGCCACCTATGGAATCTGTCCTTTTAGGGAACACCTAAGTTTAAGGATCCCTAGAAAAATAGGTTCAGGTCTGCTAACCAGAACAAGGCTCGGGAGTTCGGTTACGTGTGAAGAAGGTTATAGCACCCTCACAACGCTCATCAAAAGATGGTACCAGCTTAAATTTATGTTATCCAAAAGCTTTAAAATTTTACCAAGTAGTTAATTATTGAAAATTATTCTCAATTGACTCTAATACTTTTAGCAGAAAATTGAAAAAATTCCCTCACCTCAGGAGTATGCAAGAAAAACTACTGTTTCACTTACAGAGGCTCCGTCGTCGGATTAGTTAAAGAAAAATCAAAATCAAAGTCAAAATAGAAAGGAAGGAAAGAATGATTGTTCTTGTGTAGGGAAAATTGATACTTTCAACTTTTCCCCAAAAATATATTTTTGAAAATTTATTTTTAAGGAAAATTGATACTTCCAACTTTTCCTCAAAAATATATTTTTTTTGAAACTTTGATTTCTAAGGAAAATTGATACTTTCAATTTTTCCTCAAAAATCTTTTTTTTTGAAAACTTTGATTTTCAAGGAAAATTGATACTTTCAACTTTTCCTCAAAAATATTTTTTTAAAAATCTTTTTATCTTCAAGAGTTATTTAAAAGATGCTTGACAAATCAAAATTTCCTGTGAAACATTTTAAACTTACTTGGTATCCAACACGAGAACAAATGAACATCTTCTTGCACCACTTTTGCTTACGAGATGGTGATTGAATTAAGTGCATCGATTCTTGACCCTTTAAGACACCGATACATGTATGATATTTCAACAAAGTCAACCATCTTCTTTTCAACAGCAAACCTAGTCACTTCAACCACTAGGCGAGGCGTAACATGGACAGTCTCCTGACAACCTTGATGAGTTAGTTTACAGGAGGACATCCAAAGGAACCTCATGTCATAGTAGCGATGCAAACCAGAAAACAAAGCTGCAGCCCCAAAT